TTTGCTTTGTTTCTTTGTTTCCATTTTTTTTTCCTTCTTCCTTTCTTTCTTTCTTTCTTTCTTTTTTCTTTCTGTTTCTTTTTTCTTTTCTTTTGATGATTCCACTTTTTTTTGTTTCTTTCCTTTCCATTTCTTTCTTTCTTTCTTTTCTTTCTTTCTTTCCTGTTTTCTTTTTCCTTTTTCTTTCTTTTGATGATTCCACTTTTTTGCTTTGTTTCTTTTTGTTTTCCATTTCTTTCTTTCTTTCTTTCTTTCTTATTTTTCTTTTCTCTTTCTTTTTCCACTTTTTGCTTTGTCTCTTTGTTTTCCATTTCTTTCTTTCTTTCTTTCTTTCTTTCTTTCTTTCTGTTACTCCACTTTTTCATTTCTATTGATGATTCCATTTTTGCTTTTTTTTTGTTTTCCATTTCTTTTCTTTCTTTCTTTCTTTCTTTCTTGTTACTGTTCTCCATTTCTTCTTTTTCTATTGATGATTCTACTTTTTTGCTTTGTTTCTTTGTTTTCCATTTATTTCTTTCTTTTTTTTCTTTCTTTCTGTTACTCTATAGACTTTCTTTCTTTCTATTGATAGTTCCACTTTTTGCTTTTGTCTTTTTGTTTTCCATTTCTTTTCTTTCTTTCTTTCTTTCTTTCTTTCTTTCTGTTACTGAATACTTTCTTTCTTTCTTTTAGATGATTCTACTTTTGGCTTTGTTTCTTTGTTTTCCATTTCTTTTTTTTTTCTTTCTTTCTTTCTTTCTTTCTGTTACTCTACTTTCTTTCTTTCTATTGATGATTCCACTTTTTGCTTTGTTTCTTTGTTTTCCATTTCTTTCTTTCTTTCTTTCTTTCTTTCTGTTACTCTACTTTCTTTCTTTCTATTGATGATTCCACTTTTTGCTTTGTCTCTTTGTTTTCCATTTCTTTCTTTCTTTCTTTCTTTCTTTCTTTCTTTCTTGTTTTCTTTTTCTTTCTTTTGATGATTCTGACTTTTGCCAATGTTTTAAGTGTTTCCATTTCTTTCTTTCTTTCTTTTCTTTCTTTCTTCTTTATTCTACTTTCTTTCTTTCTTTTGATGATTCCACTTTTTGCTTTTTTCTTTGTTTTTCCATTTCTTTAGAATTCTTTCTTTCTTTCTTTCTTTTTGCGTTGTGTTACTCCACTTTTTTCTTTCTATTGATGATTCCACTTTTTGCTTTGTTTCTTTGTTTTTCCATTTCGTCGTTCTTTTCTTTCCCTCTTTTTCTTTCGTTCTCGTCCCTTATCCAATTTCTTTCTTTCTTTCTATTCCAAGCCTTGTTTCTTTTTCTTTTTGTTTCTTTCTTTTTCATACTTTTTTCTTGGCCTCCCACTCTTTCTTTCTTTCTTGATTCCATTTTTTGCTTTTTTTCTTTTTCTTTCCTTTCTTTTGCCTTTTTCTTTCTTTCTTTCTTTCTGTTCTTCATATTCTTTCTTTCTATTGATCATTTTCACTTTTTTCTTTGTTTCTTTGTTTTTCATTTCTTTCTTTCTTTCTTTCTTTCTTTCTTTCTTTCTGTTACTGTTGTTTGTTTTTTTCTAATGTAGTTCCACTTTTGCTTTTGTTTCTTTGTTTTCCATTTCTTTCTTTCTTTTCTTTCTTTTCTTTTTGTTTGTTTTTCTGTTAACTTCCTTTCTTTCTTTCTTTTTGATGATTCCTTTTGCTTTGTCTCTTTGTTTTCCATTTCTTTTTCTTTCTTTCTTTCTTTCTTTCTGTTACTTTGTCCTTTTCTTTTCTTTCTATTGATTTTTCCAATTTTTTTTTTGTTTTCTTTGTTTTCCATTTTGTTTTCTCCTTTCTTTCTTTCTTTTTTTCTTTCTGTTACTTTTTTCTTTCTTTCTTTCTATTGATGATTCCACTTTTTTTGCTTTGTTTCTTTGTTTTCCATTTCTTTCTTTCTTTTTTTCTTTCTTTTTATTTACTCTACTTTCTTTTTTTTCTTTTGATGATTCCACTTTTTTTTTTTGTCTTTTGTTTTCCATTTCTTTTCTTTCTTTCTTTTTCTTTTTTCTTTTTTCTTTCTGTTCTTTTTTTTTTTCTTTCTATTGATCATTCCACTTTTTGCTTTGTTTCTTTTTCTTTTTTCTTTGTTTCTTTCTTTCTTTCTTTTTTCTTTTCCCAGTTATCTTTTTTTTGGTCTTTCCCATGATTCACTTTTTGCTTTTTCTTTTTTTTCTTTTTTCTTTCTTTCTTTTCTTTCTTTCTTTTCTTTCTTTTTTTTTCTTTTCTGTTACTCCACTTTTTTCTTTCTATTGATGATTCCAACTTTTGTTTTGTTTCTTCTTTTTCCATTTCTTTTTTCTTTCTTTCTTTCTTTTTTTTTTGATTTCTTTTTTTTTTCTTTTGTCCTTCCACTTTTGCTTTTTTTTTTGTTTCCATTTCTTTTTTCTTTCTTTCTTTCTTTCTTTCTTTTTGTTTTCCTAAGTTTTCTATTGATCCTTCCACTTTTGCTTTTGTTTTTTTGTTTTTCCATTTTTTCTTTTCTTTCTTTCCTTTTCTTTCTTTCTTTTTTTCTTTTTCTACTTTCTTTCTTTCTTTTGATGATTCCACTTTTTTGCTTTCTGTTGTTTTTGTTTCTTTCTTTCTTTCTTTCTTTCTTTCTGTTGTTCCACTTTCTTTCTTTCTATTGATGATTCCACTTTTGTTTGTTTCTTTGTTTTCCTTTTCTTTCTTTCTTTCTTTTTTTCTTTCCTTCTTATGTCTCCACTTTTTTGTTTCTTTGTTTTCCTAAGTTTTTTGTTTCTTTTGTTTTTTCCATTTCTTTTTTCTTTCTGTTACTCTACTTTTCTTTCTTTCTATTTTGTTTTCCACTTTGTGTTTTGTTTCTTTGATTTTCCATTTCTTTCTTTTTGCTTTTGTCCTTCCTTCTTTCTGTTACTCAATTTTTGTTCTTCCTATTGATGATTCCAATTTTTGCTTTTGTCTCTTTGTTTTTCATTTCTTTCTTTTTTCTTTTCTTTCTTTCTTTTTTTTTGTCTGTTATGTCTACTTTCTTTTGTTCTTTTGATGTTCCACTTTTTGCTTTGTCTCTTTGTTTTTTTTTGATTTTTTCTTTCTTTTCTTTCTTTTTTTCTTTTGTCCTTCCTCCTTTCTTTTTTCTATTGATGATTCCATTTTTTTGCTTTTGTTTCTTTGTTTTCCATTTCTTTTCTTTTTTCTTTCTTTCTTTCTTTCTTTTGTCCTGTTACTCTACTTTCTTTTGTTTCTTTTGATGATTCCACTTTTTTTTGTCTTTTGTTTTGATTTCTTTTTTTGCTTTGTTTCTTTCTCTTTCTTTTTTTCTTTTTTACTCTACTTTTTTCTTTTTTTGATTCTTTCTTTTTTTCTTTTTTCTTTTTTCCATTTCTTTCTTTCTTTTTTTCTTTCTTTCTTTCTGTCTTTACTCCACTTTCTTTTTTTTCTATTTGATTCCATTTTTGCTTTGTTTTGTTTTTTTTTCTTTCTTTCCTTTTTTTTCTTTCTTTCTTTTTTTCTTTCCTTACTCTACTTTTTTCTTTTTTTCCTGATTCCACTTTTGTTTCTCTCTTTTGATTTTTCTTTCTCCTACTTTTTTGCTTTTTGCTTTGTCTTTGTTTCTTTGTTTTCCATTTTCTTTCTTTCTATTTTTTTTTGTTTTTGTTCTTTCTTTTTCATTTCTTTGTTACTGTTACTTTTGTCCTTTCTTTGTCTACTTTCTCCTTGATGATTCCACTTTTTGATTTTGTCCTTTGTTTTCCATTTTTTTTTTGTTTCTTTTTCTTTCTTTCTTCTTTGTCCTTCCTTTGTTTTCTTTCTATTGATCCTTCCATTTTTGCTTTTTGTCTTTGTTTTTTTTTTTGTCCTTTCCTTCTTTTCTGTTTTGTCCTCTACTTTTTGCTTTCTTTTCTATTGATGATTTCTGTTTTTGCTTTGTTTCTTTTGTTTTCCATTTAAGTTTCTTTTTTCTTTTTTTCTTTCATGTCTACTTTTTTTTTGTTTCTGTTATGTCCACTTTGCTTTTGTCCTTTGTTTTTCACTTTTTGATTTTGTCCTTTTTTGCTTTTTTTGCTTTTGTTCTGTTATGTCTTTCTTTCTTTTGTTTCTTTTTGCTTTGTTTCTTTTTTTCCTTCCTTTCTCTCTTTCTTTTTTTCTTTTGTCCTTGATTACTCTTACTTTTTTTTGTCCTTGATCATTCCACTTTTTGTTTTGTTTCTTTTTGTTTTCCATTTGCTTTTGTTTCTTTTTCTTTCTTCTTTCTTTTGTCCCACCTACATCTTTACTTTTGCTTTGTATTGATGATTCCACATTTTGCTTTTTTCCTTGTTTTCCATTTCTTTCTTTTTGTCTTTCTTTCTTTCTTTGCTTTGTGTTATCTAATTTTTTTTTTCTTTTGATGATCTCCAAGTTTTTTGTCTTTTGTTTTCCATTTCTTTCTTTGTTTTTTCCTCCTATGTTTCTTTCTTTTGTCCTCCTGATGATTCCACTTTTTGCTTTTGTCCTCCTGTTTTCCACTTTGTCCTTCCTTTTTTCACATTTCTTTTGTTCTTTCTGTGTTACTTTTTTTTTTGTCCTTGATTTGTTCCACTTTTTTTTGCTTTTGTCCTTCCAGTTTTTCCTTATTCCTTTCTTTTTACTTTTTCTTTCTGTTACTGTTAATTTTTTTTTCTTTTCTTTCCTGATTCCACTTTTTGTTTTGTCCTTTGTTTTCCCATTTTTTGCTTTTTTTTCTTTTTTCTTTCTTTCTGTTTTTGTCCTTTCCCTTTTCTTTTTTGTTTTGATCCTTCCACTTTTTTGCTTTTTTTTCTTTGTTTTCCATTTTTTTTTTTTTCTTTTTTCCTTCTTTTTTCTGTTGCTTTTGTTTCTCCTGATGATTCCACTTTTTTTTGTTTCTTTTTGTTTTTTTTCTTTCTTTCTTTCTTTTTTTTCTTTTGTTAATTTACTTTCTTTTTTCTATTCCATTTTTGCTTTTTTTGTTTTCTTTGTTTTTCTTCTTTCTTTTGCTTCTGTCTTTCTTTCTGTTACTCAACTTTCTTTCTTTCTATTGATGATTCCACTTTGCTTTGTTTCTTTGTTTTCCATTTCTTTCTTTCTTTCTTTCTTTTTTCTTTCTTTCTGTCTCTGCTTTCTTTCTATTATTGATGATTCTACTTTTTTGCTTTTGTTTCTTTTGTTTTCCATTTCTTTCTTTCTTTTCTTTCTTTCTTTCTTTTTCTGTTACTCTACTTTCTTTCTTTCTATTGATGATTCCAATTTTTTTTTGTTTCTTTTGTTTCTTTCTTTTTCTTTCTTTCTTTCTTTCTGTTACTCTACTTTCTTTCTTTCTATTGATGATTCCACTTTTTGCTTTGTTTCTTTGTTTTCCATTTCTTTCTTTCTTTCTTTCTTTCTTTCTTTCTGTTACTCTACTTTCTTTCTTTCTATTGATGATTCCACTTTTTGCTTTGTTTCTTTGTTTTCCATTTCTTTCTTTCTTTCTTTCTTTCTTTCTTTCTTTCTGTTACTCCACTTTCTTTCTTTCTATTGGATGTTTCCACCTTTGTTCTTTGTTTCTTTTGTTTTCCATTTCTTTTTTTTCTTTTTTCTTTCTTTCTTTCTGTTACTCTACTTTTTTCTTTCTATTCCTGATTCCACTTTTGCTTTGTTTCTTTGTTTTCTATTTTTCTTTCTTTCTTTCTTTCTTTTCTTTTTTCCTTTCTTTTCTACTTTCTTTCTTTTGATGATTCCACTTTTTGCTTTGTCTCTTTGTTTTCCATTTCTTTCTTTCTTTCTTTCTTTCTTTCTTTCTTTCTGTTACTCTACTTTCTTTCTTTCTATTGATGATTCCACTTTTTGCTTTGTTTCTTTGTTTTCCATTTCTTTCTTTCTTTCTTTCTTTCTTTCTTTCTTTCTTTCTGTTCTATTGATTTCTTTTTTTTTCTTTTGATGATTCCAATTTTTTTTTTATTTTTGTCCATTTTTTCTTTTCTTTCTTTCTTTCTTTCTGTTTTTCTTTTTTCTTTCTTTCTCCTGATCCTGATTCCACTTTTGCTTTGTTTCTTTGTTTTCCATTTCTTTCTTTCTTTCTTTTACTCTTTCTTTCTTTCTTTTCCTTCTGTGAGTTTTTCTTTTTCTTTTTTTGATGTTCCACTTTGCTTTGTCTTTGTTTTCCATTTTTTCATTTTTCTTTCTTTCTGTTTTTTTATTCTTTCTTTCTTTCTTTTCCACTTTTTTGCTTTTCTTTCTTTCTTTTGTCTTTCTGTTACTCTTTTCTTTCTTTCCTGATGATGTCCACTTTTTGCTTTTGTTTCTTTGTTTTCCATTTCTTTCATTCTTTCTTTTTCTTTTTCTTTTTTCTGTTACTCTACTTTTTTCTATTGATGATGTTCACTTTTTGCTTTGTGTCTTGTTTCCATTTCTTTCTTTCTTTCTTTCTTTCTTTCTTTCTTTCTTTCTTTCTTTCAGACAGATTATATTTATATGGATAGATCTCGTACTCTAATTCTTTTAAGTCTTGAGCTTAAACCATTTTTTTTTGAATGAGAGGAATAATGCAAGAAACAGCAGCAGAATCCATCAAAATCATATGGTGATGGCATAATCGGTGAGAGAACACGTAAGAGATTTTCTTTTTTCGTTTTAGAAAGGAAAAGTTCAGTTTAAAGGAGGAAACATGTGACAATCGCCAGGACATGATCTTGACGCACTGGAGGCCAATGTTGATGTTATTGTGTTGGTAAAGAAAAGAAAAAGTAAAAAAAAACAAATAATGAGTGTCAATTTCTCAACCGCAACACTTGTAGCCAAAATCCAATTCAACGACTGTCCGACGTAACAATCCAACAGGCCACGTAGGGACGGCAAAATTGGGTCACACACCTAGCCTTCGCTTCTCGCCAACAAGAACACCTCTGTCTCTCTCAAAAGAGGCTCGCTTTACACAGCCGAGGACCGACCATAATTTACATACGTATCACTAGCCAACGAGATTTCGCGTTAGTCGTCTGAGACCACCTGTCATAAAACATGGGCGCCGCCATTTTGATTCTTTTTTCGCCGTCGAGCAACCGGACTTTACATGACGCACAGATTCGTGGACGTTTCCAAGGTAGGCCGTTCTTTTCTTTCCTCGTTCGTCCAGTATTTAATTTTGCCAGGGACTGTTGCTACATTTGCTTAAGCGTCCACTATTCTGCTTACATATTACTCTTAGAACGGCGAACCGTAGTCAGTTCAGCAGAACACACAGACTGCTGCCTTTCAGTTCCGCTACAGTTATCCAAACCATTATAACCATATGGCACTTCAGCTTTGGCCATCACGAAATGGGAATGTCCAGAAAAGTGTCAAAGATTGAAAAGTGTGTTCCACATTAACTATTAGCAGAGAATCTCAAACAGCGTGCCGATTATTATGCATCACTGCATAGCCGTCATTTTCAAGTACGTTTTTGAACAGTTATTACCGGGTATGAGAAGTAGATCCTTCCCACATTATGAAACGGAGGCGTCAGTTGCTTAGTGCTGGTGGAAGGTCTTCTCGGCAGCCAAGAACGGGACTGTAAACCCAATTTTTTTTAATGGGCTTATACAGTGTAACCCGGATATAAGAGAGTTGTCGGGACCGGAGAAGAAGTCTCTTATATTCGGGTTTGGTCTATTTTGTTTAGGTAACATAGGCTCTAATTTGGGACCAGATAAAATCTCTCTTATATCCGGGTTTATCTTATATCCGGGTCTCTTATATCCGGGTTACACTGTAGTGAGATATGCAAGGAAACATTTATAGTGAACATTTAAACGATAATCAAACAATCACAGTCAAAGTTTACATACAAAGCAGATTATTTATTTGAAGTGGTAGGTTTATTTGATAAGTTGAAAAATGTCCACCGACATGAGTATTCTAAACAACGCTTGCATTCGGTACCATCACAAAAAAAAAAAAAAAAAAAAATCACTTCTTTTTTATGAAATCGATCTCAACCTGATGTAATCAAAACAAAAGGAAACAAACATACAAAAGCAAAACAACAAAAACGATTTTGTTTTTACTTACAAGTTCCAGTAAATATAGCGAAGGCACGGCTGATGAAGTCGCATGTACCAGTGGCTTCGGAGCAGGCTCCACTCATGCTTGATATCAAAGAAGAGGATTGTTCAGTTTCCAATGGGTCTGTCCAGTAGACTGTTGTACCATACATGACTTTGACTGGCGGGAATTGGATTGCCTGGAATTAACAAGTAAATTAACTTAGTAGGAAAGTGCAGAAACTAATCAAGTTAATTCGTATTGCATTAGTAACACTGGTTCCAGGAGAAGCAGTAGCTTTTAGTATTAGATCAGATACCAACATAAAGCTGGAAGCTAAAATCGACCGGCTTTCTGACACTAATTGCCACACCAGAATACATATGTACACATTTGATAAGATGTCGGCAAACTAAACCTAACCCACCGTACTATTTCCGCAGGCCATATGGAATACGCTTCTTCTTCTATGTGACGTGTCCCTTCAAGATGAGGGCGATCATTGCTCTCCATAACTTCCCAACCCTTGCAGATCTTGCAACATTTCTCCCTTTGATGAGTCTCTAAGTCCCCGTCCCGCCATTCATTCACACAAGCTTGTCAGATGTGTCGTCGGCTGCCGTTCCCTGTTCGATTTGCTTTCGATGTGTCCTGTGGGTGTTAGAGAGCGTAGAACTGAAAGCTGATCCTGATTATAACAATAGGTAAATGGCCGGTCAGACTGAGCTCTATAGCCTTGGGTAGCAAACACTCGAGAAGAATGACAACTCAGAATTCAAAATCTCTATGGGTAAATAGTAAGGCAGACTGAGCTTTTCAAACTTGGGTGGCAACCAGTTCAGGGGAAGGACAACTCTGAATTAAAAAAAAATAACCGTGTGTAGCCCTGGCAGAAATATATATATATATATATATATATATATATACACACACACACACACACATATATATATATATATATATATATATATATATATATATATATAGTGTAACCCGGATATAAGAGAGTTGTCGGGACCGGAGAAGAAGTCTCTTATATCCGGGTTTCTCTATATCGGGTTTGGTCTATTTTGTTTAGGTAAAGTATAGAACACTTTGGAACCAGAGAAAATCTCTCTTATATCCGGGTTTCTCTTATATTCGGATTTGCACTGTATATATATATATATATATATATATATACCATATATATAATTAAAAAAAATTTATAAAAAAATCTAATATATGGATTGTTGTCGGATACGCAATGAATCTTTAATATAAATAATTATGATGATAAAATAATGTATTTCAATAATATATTTAATTTAATTATATATATATATATTCTGACGATTGCGTCAACACTCAAACAGGCTGTTTATGCTATATGTAATCATTCTAATGTTCTAGCTTATATTTATATTTGCATACCTTCCTCGATGATATTGAGCGCTTTATCCCAAAAATATAGCTTTACTTAAAACTTTATTCCTTCATATATATATATATATATATATATATATATATATATATATATATGAATAAAAAAAATGGCAGATTAATTTTCAAATGAATTTTTGCAATAAAAAGTAACAAGATTTATAAAAAATCGAAATGGATTCTGTTGTCGGACATTACGCAATGAATCTTTATTAGAAAATAATTCAAAATTAATGATAATAAAATAATGTATTTCAATAATATATTTTAATTTAATTATTTATATTTAATAAATTATTTAAATAATTCTATTTATGCAGAAAATGATCTGCAAAGTATTAATATTGTAGAAAAATTTGCAATAAAAATAGTAGTAAACTAATGTTTAATTTAAGATCTTATATGCTTTTATTATTAGAATCTCTACAAGGGAATGTTCAAAGGTTCTTGGACGTTCAGGCGTTTACCCACTGTGGCATTAGTTAGATCCAGTGACAGGACCCAAAGAGTGTGAGTTCAATACCTGGTTAAGGCGGTGGAAAACTTGGAGAGGAGAATTAAACAGGAGATAACTGATAACTGACATCCATTAGACATGGCACGTGGAACAGTCTACCCCAGTGAGCGAAATAAAGGGTTCAGTTCGACAACCACCTGAAGAAGGCCGGAGCGTACAACGGCCGAAACGTTGTGATAAATATGGCGACAAAGATGAGGACAATAGTCCGAATAATGTAAATAGTATACATAATACCTCATCTCAGAAATATAGACAGATACATTTCGTGGCCTTGTGCCAGACTAAGATATAACTAAACTTTAGATTAACCGTCGTTCCGATCTAATTTCACGCAGAGTGCTAAGTGCCTCATAAAAATAACTGTTCATCTGTACTGCATTTGGAAGACTGATATTTCACTGTTCTTTTGCGAGTTAAGTCATAAAAACGATTCAGATGACGTCACTGTACAATCCTGCCGAATGGGCGCATTTCCCGCTTGACATTAGAAACGAACGATCAAATAGTCTGTGTGACTTGAGTCGAATGGCCGCCATCGAAAGAGGCGGGAAAATATAGTCTGTCAGTTTTCTTTGCTTTTTATTCTTCTTCGCTTAAACTGCACTTCTGTCATCATTTTTTCTGTAGAGTTTTTCATTCTTTTTTTTTTTAAATTTGTGTATATCAATCTCTTTTTCAGCATTTTCATTAACTTTTCCATCTCTCTTTTATGTTTTATTTTTCCAATTGTTTACTTTGAATCTTTTCTTTTTCTTTTTTTAATTCTCTACCTTTCTTATTTCTCTTCCTTTTGATTATATTCATTGGATCTCTCTTATTCTTCTTCCTCTTCGTTCTATTCATTGCATTAGGTTTCATTCATTTTCTTTCGTCTTATCACACCACTTTTGCATTCTTTTTCTTCTCATTCTTCACCTCTGTCTTTTTTTCTTCACTTTCTCCACCTCTGTCTATTTTTTGTATTTATTCTTTTT